TTTTGTTCTTTGACTGGAACTCTAGAACTCTACCAACGCTGAAATTTAATATGGCAAATGCAATCGGGAAAGATGGCCGCGCGGAATTAGCAAGCTGAAAGTTTTGAGGTTATTTATCAGGTGAAGGGAGAGTAAAGTGTGTCATAGGTGTAATTTTGTAAATTGTTAATAGTATATTTGTTTGTTTTATTCATTTGTTAAAATCAATTTTTAGATATTTAAGTGTATATTTGGTTTTAAAGTGTTATTTGCGCACTTGTGGACAAAAATATAAGTTTAAACACTGGGTAAGATTATAATGTTGAAAATATTTTTTGTAAACAAATAATTAAATGTCATAATGATAGAAATTTACGAAAGTTTATTTTTTATTGAGTTTTATTTGAAGTTTTTAATTATTTACTCATCTATAATATAAAAATGAATCGTAAAATTTGTTGGTAAGCGCATAACTCAACAACGCTTTGACCAATTTGGCCAATTCTTTTTTTAAATGTTCGATAAAGTCCAAGGATGGTTTTTACGGCGAGAAAAATAAAATAATTGCCGGGAAAACCCGAAAGACAGCTCTTTTCTATAGGACAAAAATTGACATTGAGATTCAATCATAGTTATAGTTAAATAGTTGAATCCGAGATGGCGCGCTCAAGTGCATTATTAGCAATTCTATATATAATTAATTTCTTTAAATTAAAATTGCGAATTTTATTGATAAAATTGACCCAGATTATGTCTAGAACAAGAGAGTAAAAACGAATTACATTTTTATTAAACACTACCGAGACGAAGTCGCGGGTAAAAAAGCTAGTAAACTAATAAACAAACATTAATAATATTTTTTTCTTTCTTTAAATTAGTGCAGAATTTAATTCTCAATTTTATTAACTTAAAATTTGAGTGATAAGACGGTATTATCAAAATTTACAATGAAATTTGTCCGAAAATTCAATTTTTAACTTCAATCGTTTATAACTTTTTATTCAATAATCATTTTAACAACATTTTTATGTATTTGAAGTAGAATTTCCTCTACTATTTAATTTTGAAACAATTTTGGATCTAACACAAACACATTTTGAGTTATTTATAAAAACCCTTCAAAATTTAACCTCAATTTTGGTCTAAAGTGAAAATAACCATCAAAAATCATTTATTGCCTTATTATTTTGTGTTCCAATTATAAAAATTCACTATTTCTCATTATAATCGTCTTATTTTTGTTTTCTATGCGCTTTTAAATGATTTTTGATCAAATATTATGTTAAAACTTCACCGCTGCAATTCACAGGTAGAATAAAAACGCCTAGTGTTTTTCTTCCTAAACACACAGATTATTTGCACTTCCGCCCGCGTGCCGTGTAAACAAAAACATTTGCCATACGTGTGTTTCCTGTTCGACAGTGTCTTTTGTCTTGTGGCGAAACCGCCAAACTCTGAAAGGTCGCTTGTTACAGTTTAGGTTTTGCACGTCGCTCGGCGCAAAAGATCAATGCGCGTTGGGTTTGGCACGCATTGCAAACACGCCGGCACTTGAAAAGTGCGACAAACAATTGACCAACGGTTTGCTGACTTGAAACAGAGACTTTCTTTCAGGTGTTAAAAGAAAACCGCCGAAAAGGGTCAATATTTTGTAAATAAAAATAAATTTTGCAAAAATAGAACAAAAGTAAACAATTAAACAATATTTAAAAGATTTAAAATACATTAAAACCTTATTGTAAGCTAAAACAACCGTTGAATTGATTTATTTCTCTATTATTTTTATTTTTTTATTTTTTTCTAAAGCAAGATGCTTAGACCGTTACACTACACTTGCATCCAATCAACTCTTATGAAAATTTCATCCAGCAACGGTCTGAACATTAAGACGCAGAAAAAATACGTTTTTTGTATTAATTATTATATTTCCTGCATAAATATCTACATATTAATATATTTGATTGCATGTTTACATAGTCAAATCAATAAATTAATAATATTTAATTTTAACGTCTTGTATTTTCGAATAATAAACAATATTGACTTGTCCACTGTTTTGAATACGTTTGCGAATTAAATACTAAAAACTCAACAAATATCTGCCACTGTAGTAAGTATTTATTTTAGATAAGATAATTTATTGCGGTTGCAAACGTACGAACAGAATATTCAACATTGTCACATTGTCAAATAATTCGTACGTTGAAACAAACGAAAGTTTATTTTATTTTGTTTTTACGACTATTATAAGCTATTTTCGTATTATTTCAAGGTCAAATTTTATCTTTCGCTTACCATTGAACCTAACGAATAATTTTTTCACATAACAATACGAAATTATACCTACCCAAAGCGTAATAATCACACTCAATGTATACCGCAAGTCAAGTATTAGTATTATTATATTATTTACTAGTTTTTGCCCGTGACTTTGTCCCGGTAGTGTTTAATAAAAATGTTCGTTTTAGTCTTGTGTTTTAGACATAGTATGTGTCAATTCTATCAATAAGATTCGCAATTTTATTTTAAAGAAATTAATTATATAAAGAATTGCTAATAATGCACTTCAGCGCGCCATCTCGGATTCAACTATTTAACTATAACTATGATTGAATCGCAATGCCAATTTTTATCTTATTGAAAAGAGCTGTTTTTAGGGTTTTCCCGGCAATTATTTGAATTTTTCTCATCGTAAGAACCATCCTTGGACTTTAACAAACATTAAAAAAGAAGAATTGGCCAAATTGGTCTAAGCATTGTTGAGTTATGCGCTTACCAACAGACTTTACATTTCATTTTTATTTTATATATTATTTATTTATTTATTTATAAAAATTTAGTTAGTTAATTAAAAATCAACATCTCGATGCTTAGATTTTGATATTAATTTATAAACGAAGGAATGACCCGATCGATAACACGCTTATCAAAGTACAAGTTTGGTGAACCAGAAAGCTCACACGAAATTAAAGAAAAACCCGACGTAATAATAAATCAACGAACGATCAAACCACGAATGGTAACCGAAGCTGAAAATAAAAAATAGTTTTATGATGGAATTAATTTTCCGGCAGCAAAGTGTACGCCTGTGAAGTAAGAAATAAATTGATTTCACTTATGGAATTGTTGCGATCGATAATATTGTTTGGGTCGGTTGATTTTCTAACCTGTAAACGAATTCTAGGAATTTGTCACGGACAATTCTAACTTATTTATTGCGCATTATTCTGTCACGGATTTTTTTCAGTTGTAAATTTTGGAAGCGGGTGTACACGCCACATTAACTAAATTTATGTTCTACGCCTTCCATTAGGTACGATTAATACTTCTACTCCTACTGGATTTTTTTCGGTGTTACACATCGTTTGGTTTTGAACTAGCTTGGATTTAATACCTTAATAATTTATTTTAGGAAGTCAAAGTGAACTTTTTTACCGGTTAATGCTTAAATAATTAAAGAAGAAGACAAATTAATGAGAAAAATTAAGAAAATATTTGTTTTATTGAGAAATATCAGCAATTTAGTGTATAATATATTTTTATTTGGCGAGTTTGAGGTTTTTTTACGTTAACTAGTATTATAAATGCAAATTTGAGTGTATTTCTTTGTTTGTTACGCTTTTGTGGAAAAACCACGCAACCAATTTTGATAAATTTTGGCTAGAAAATATTTTTGACCATGGAAATTCAAATAGGCTGCTTTTTGTCTCAAAACTAAGGCTTAAAACCTAAGAAATGAGCGATGAATGTTGGAATGGTGATTGAATCATAACTATAGTTATATAATTGCCATCGAGATGGCGCTAAAGTACATTATTAACATTTTTCATGTCTTTAAATTAATTTTAAGAATTTTATGGTTGAATTTCGCAAGAAATTCAAAGAAATTAATTAATCAGACTCTTTTTTTATTAAAATTTTTGTGAATAACGTGCATGTGCAAAATATTTAAGTTAAACAACTAATAAATTATTTAAAAACTTTATAAGAATAAAACTTCGTTTTAAATATTTGATTTTATGCCATTATGTATAAAATTTATCTTCATTGCCTCGGCTATCAACTAAAATGCCTGATTATGCGCTGATAAACATAAATCCGTCACTAAGTTATGATTCAAAATTATCACACCTTATTACTTTGATTTATATATTTATGTATTTATATTTGTAGAAATTGCAAATATGTAACTGCAATATAGGTACTTAACTATTAAATGAAACAAAAATCAACTTATTAATGCACTTATTCGTTGATTTGCCTGCTTCGCTTCGTGTGCGATAAGAAAGCACAGGAAAGCACGCGAATTGCAGTGCATGACTTTAGTTGTCCCGTTATCTCCGCACGGTTGTCGGGTTGTCGGTTATTCTTTGCCCCATGTGGCTGAACTAGATTTAATTCTGTACTTGTGACTTGACTGAGTCATAAATACACTAAATGTTTTAAAATATTTATGATAATTAAGTTGAAATATGTTTTAGCGTTGAGTTGGTGTTTTGTTGTGACACTCTGTAGATTCTGTTCTTTTTCGAAGCCTAGAAAAACCGGATGGACGCGACGGCGCTCGGTTCCGGTATAATTGGCGTGCGCTGCGCTGATAAGCCAAGTATTCATAATTTTCAAAGCGTTTCCTTTACGCTTTTTCTTGTACAAACATGTAAATCACAATATTCAACCTCACAATGTGTTAAATAACAATTTTGAGGTTAATTTCATGTTTTTGTTTGTTTTACTCTAAAAATTTCAATTATTTCAACCAATTTCACATAATTATATAATTGCAAAATATTTCATAGAGTTGTTTACGATTATTTTGTATTTCTAAACGTTCTAATATTGTTTTTAAAATATTTAAATGAGTATTAATTGTAATGGTAATATATGCAACCAAGTATACTCACTTTGTTGACTCTGTTGACTTGTATTTTGTTTTGTGCAGCGTGAGTCAACTCCGCTCGTAGTTCACTTCAGCGTGGGGGGAAACAAGGAGTAACTTTAGTGAAGTATGTGTGTGTTCACAGGCGTCATCGGCGAGTACAACGGCGAGGAGGCAACGCAGGAGTACAGCCCGTCCTCACAACCGGCCGAGGGGGCCGAGCTGTCGCCGCATTCTCGCGCCGCCACGCCTTTGGAATGTATGCAGTACGGCGCAACAGGCGGCGACTACCAACGCGCCACAATCCTACACGACACCAGCGAGTATATCGATGCATTCGGACGCCGCATGGACGATGTAATATACAAATCTAACCTTAAAATATTCCACTACGCATACGCCATCTTTGTATTTGTTACTCAACTAACAAAAATGTATTATTTTAGGTTGCGGGTATGGATGACTCGCCGAGTGAACACCATCAGCATTACACCCAATTGGAGGGCGCGATGACAAACGCCGCCGACGGTTCATCACCACATGACAGCCATGCGTCGAGCGCAGCGGCATCACCGACGCGTCTGCATGCGCACAACGCCACATTCACACACATGGAAGCGCTGTCTGCATCTGGCGGCGGCGATCAACAACATCTCGAGTTGCAAACGATCAACGCCAATGACGGCCCCGAACTGACGCAACTCTCTAGTCACATCACTTATGGCGGCGTTGTACCCGCGTCCGTTGCGGAAAATATTGCCGGGTAAGTTATAATAAAATTGAGATAAAACGTTACATTCACTTCTTAAACATACTTGCTTACGAGTATCTTATCTTTGCTTAAATAAATATAATATATTTAACAAAATTCAATTCAATACTCGGAGAGAATAAATATAACGTTTTATTACTGCACATTTCGCGTTCGTATCAAATCAAGATCTAAATATCTCAGTAGAGTGATATTAGTGACAAGTATAAGTTGTGTTTGAACGAAGAGAACAAGAATGTCTGCGATTTTAAAAGTATCAACGAGGTATGTACGCATATTAAGAGTTTTGGTGTATAGTGGGTTGTCTAGGTTAATTCTGAATGATATTATTCTATGCATTAATTAATTGTGCAAATGACGCGTGGTTTACGATGTAGTGAATTGTAGTTTACAAACATTAACGTGATAGTTAAACAAAGCGATGTGTTTGTATCTTTTTACGTTGTGAAACAATATCGCGCGTGGAGTGCGGATTTTATGAATTGAAGTTCTCATGCGTTACTTTTTGGGATGAAATTTCATTTTAAATATGAATTTGTTTTCTTATCTTGGAGTTTATTTAGATAATATTGATTTTTGACGTGATATCGGCCATTTTGTGAATCGCGAATTTTTTCATGCTTATTTCTCATCGTAATACCGTGTGAATTTAGAAATAGCGTTGAATATGCTTTCTAAGTACGGAGAAAAATAATAATTTGACACGAAAAATAATAGCTATAGTTCGGAAGGCGCCTGAACTCGCCGCCCACGCATAAACGCGCGACGCTGACGCGCTGCGCGCAAAAACAAACGAGACACTTTGCTGGTCGCTGCAAATTTGCAAATAATGTGAGGCTTGTCTCGCTTCTCCGTGACGATCGATATCAGCTTTCAGCCAACGCCACACCAACAAAACCATCACACGTTCTTTTTCATGCTTTTGATGACACCGTAAATATCTTGAAATTGTTGAAAATTAGCTGCTATTAAAAGAAGTACGTTTGTTTCATAGGATAAACACGAGAACAATTAATTTGTAATCATTATGAAGCAAAAATAAGTAATTTATCACTAATAGTTTTAGTGTTATATGAAATTTTATCGTTAAGTAGTCTTAAAGTTGCGCATATTTCACTTAAACAAGTATAACTTTCATATTATTGCGAATAATATTCTGGAACTTATAAATATTTTTACTAGGTATATTAAATTAGCTATCAATTGACATTTTTTTAATTGTTTGGACTGTAATTTCTTGAGATATAAAGCTATAAACTTAGAAAAATGATTCTATAGCATAGTTTTCAGTTAAAAGTAGCTTAACTAATGATGTTCTTATTGTTTGGACTTAATATGTGCCAAATCCGTCAATAAGATTATCAATTTTAATTTAAACGAAGAGAAATGTTAATAATGCACTTTAGCGCCATCTCAGTGTGTAAAATATAAGTATAATTACGATTGAATCTCCATATCAACTTTCACCTCATATTATACACCCTTTAAGCTCAATTTTTGTCACAAAATGTAGTCTATTTTCTTCTCCTTGATCAAAACTATCTGCTTACTAAAATTTACCAATATTGGTTGAATAGTTTTCGCGTGAATGCGTAACAAACAAAGATACAAGCTTCATTTTATTATTTTTCAAATTACATCTACATAAGCCCATGAACAGAAAATTATTTACTAGAATAACTTAAGAATGAATAACTAATGCGAAGTATGAAGTGAAGTAAAGCAAGTTGTTGACTGTTTGCTCTGTAACAAGAAACTCACTACGTGCACCGCCTGTGTCTTCAATGAATAATCGCAATCGCAATCGTGACTAATCCACTACACAAATAAAAACAAGCGTCGTACATCGAACGATTGAAAATAATATCGTTAATATCTGTTTTGATTTTATCGAGTGCAAAACCCACATGCGTATTATTACATACAGTGTGTTCGCATTACTGTCATGAGTCATTAAGTTAAATAATCAGATCTTAATCAGCAAAATAAATCACTTCAACCGTACATTTTGATTGTTTGCTGATTATGTTCATTTTATTTCTATTTATTAATAAGCTTTTGCCCGCGACTTTGACCCGGTGGTGTTTAATAAAAATGTAGGTAATTTGTTTTTGCTATCTTCTTCTAGTGACAACCAAAAATCGTTTTTTGTCTTTTTACGCTAAGATTTGAATATTTTTTAAAAAGTAATATGCTTATAAAATGAGGAATTAATTTCTTAACGATATAAAATATCTACCAATCCTGTGAATATAATACTTTCGGTGATATTCCAGTTTTATTGAAAACAGTTTTATGCATTTTATTAAAAAACTAGCTTTTGCTCGCGGTGGTGTTTAATAAAATGTAATTCGTGTTTACTCCCTTGTTCTAGACATAGTATGTGTCAATTCTACCTATAAGATTCGCAATTTTATTTTAAAGAAATTAATTATATAAAGAATTGCATATAATGCACTTCAGCGCGCCATCTCGGATTCAACTATTTAACTATAACTATGATTGAATTTCAATGCCAACTTTTATCCTATAGAAAAGGGCTGTCTTTAGGGTTTTCCCGGCAATTATTCGATTTTTTCTCGCCGTAAAAACCATCCTTGGACTTTAACGAACATTTAAAAAAAAGAATTGGCCAAATTGGTCTCGGCGTTGTTAAGTTATGCGCGTACCAACAGATTTTGCGATTCATTTTTATATTATAGATTATATTAATATATGAAATGAGTGTTATGAATCATTTTTATTGACCGAGTCCGCGCGAATTAGTCAATTGTTCTTCTTTTGTTTGGCGTGTTGTTTTGTTTAGACTCGTCGCAATTCGCCGGATCAAAGTTTACGCCGTGACAAAAGTTCAACGCGAATCAAACAACACGTTAAGAAATCTTTGCACCAGGATGTTTTAGTTTTAATCGCGGACGCGATTCGGACAGGTTCGTGCCAATCGATTAGCAATCAACGAAAACAATCGAGCATTCTCGCTGCATACAAGCGATTTCCACGAATATCGAATCATCATCCAAAAACTATCATCGAATTTTTACTTACTACAACATCGTTAAAAACGCATTTGTCCAAAAATAACATTGCGTGACATATTCATGTTTGTTGACAGACGCCATATTGTCTACGAAAATCTCGTTTGTTTCACTTAGTTGTTAATGATTTCTATTGAGTTTATAAAATTGAGACGTTTGACACGGAATAACCTTGAAAATTTTACGCGCCTGCCGCAAATGGCGAGTGTGTTTTGTTTTAAGCGTTGTGCGCACGTCGATCGTCGATTGTTTGCGTCTCGCGAGCGTAAAATCAACGCCACGACGTGTTGCACTGCACTCGATGCAATAACGCACGTTGGCAATCGATAATATTGTGATATTTGTGATCATAGAGATTGACACTGCGAAAAAACACGTTTCGACCGTGTTCAGACATGGCCGATTATCTAAACACATCAAATCGTGTATTTTTTCATAGGTATGCAACCAAATTAACGCCTGGTATAATTTTCCAGCAATTATTTAATAGTGTTGCCAGTGTGTTATTTTAAATATTGCAACGGAACGCATATTAAACGGTAAATTAAATTTTTCACATTTTGCATTGTGTAGTTTATTCATTTTTATCCGAATAAGCAGAAATGTGGGCGAACTATTAATGTCACTTGGTCACACAGCAGTTCATTACCATCGACGTGACACAATACCAAGCACTTGAAAATATTCATAAAACAATATGTTTTCAATTATTTTATGCTAATATTCTGGATGGAAACACCCTGTATAGACTTAAATGTCTCAAATTTCAAATTACAGTGTTATAGATACACGAATTATGTAACAGCAGCAAAATACATTGAATAAAACTCGAAAAGATTAAAAAAATATTTTTATCTTTAGAGGTTAGTAAAATAATGATAAATGATCACAAGGGTTGCTGAATGAAATTCTTCGCCAGGTAATACTTTAAAAATGTCACAGTCATAGAGAGGAAGTGAAGACCGGAACGCACCACTGCGCCCACGTGTCCACGTGCTAAACTAGTGACTTAAGTCAATTGTGTGTTTTATTTTTATTTTCTCTTTACCTGCGCCTGTGGCTTGTTTGTACGGTCAAGTTAAGTCAATTACCGGTTACACGGAGTTGTACTTTGAGGAAGAATGTCGAGCAAACGACTTAAGTCACGGCGAGACATTGTGACGCGTGCCCTTCGATACTCTTTTTATTCTAGTTTAGTTTTTGTACTTCTTCTTTGCGGAAGGAATACTTAAGTAGGCTTAAGTTGAGTACAGTTTAAGACATGTTACAGACACGCGTTTGTAGTGGCACGCGCCATGACACAAGACATAAAACATTAACCTGAAGTAAGTTCCGGTAATTATTTTAAGGTTAGAAGTGTGCGTTGTGTGCATGTGTGTATTGATTATCTGAATGTTTTTGTTTTTATTTTGATGAGAGATGAGAGGTAATGCGTAGACAACCGAAAACGCATTGTCCATGCATTTGTGGTCGTTAAGTTATCATAATTTTTTGAGTGTGTGGAATTGGAGAGTGCGAGTAGCCCTTTCACCGAGTGTCTTTGGGTGTCATTTATGCGCTTATCTCTTCGAGACGCACTTATAGCTTTCAGACGGTGAAATATGCGTGGAATTTATGTTTAAAAATGGAATTAGGGCTCGATTTTAAGTTTTTGAGAACAAAAATCTGATTTTTTACAAATTACGAATTTATTTTTATGTTTTAATTGGAATAAATCATTTATAAATGGAAAATGATTGATTAAGTAATAATTTTTTGATAGAATTTATCACTGCAAAGTTTTATTTTTGTTAATATAAATTAAAATGGCTGTAATCATTGTTTAGACATGGTTATTTAGTAACGAAGCAATGGATTTAAATTTTTAGATTATCCATAATATAAAAATGAATCGCAAAATCTGTTGGTAAGCGCATAACTAAACAAAGCCTAGATCAGTTTCGTCAATTCTTTTTTTTTAAATGTTCGTTAATGTCCAAGGATGGTTTTACGGCGAGAAAAATTCGAATTATTGCCGGGAAAACCGTAAAGACAGCCTTTTTCTATAGGATAAAAGTTGGCATTGAGATTCAATCGTAGTTATAGTCAAATAGTTGAATCCGAGATATCACGCTGAAGTGCATTATTAGCAATTCTTAATATAATTAATTTCTTTAAAATAAAATTGCGAATCTTATTGATAGAATTGACACATACTATGTGTAGAACAAGAGAGTAAAACGAATTACATTTTTATTAAACACTACCGGGATTCTGATTTAAAAATACGAATTGGGCTCAGTTTTAAATTTTAAAAAAAAATGTATTTTTATCATTTTTTAAGTTTTAATAGGAATAAATGATTTATGAATGGAAAATGATTGATAAAGTAATAATTCTTTGATAGGATTTATCACTGCATAGTTTAATTGTTGTTAATACAAATCAAAATAGCTGTAATCATTGATAAAGTCGTGTTATCTACCTACAAATTCATGAATTTAAAAGTTTAGATACTCCAACAATTACAATTAATAAAATAATTCAGATTCGCCGCTGAGTAATGGCACATTTCTCTCTGATAACATTATTTCTAGTTATTCACGCTTATCACGAGCGAAATTTATTTATATATCGTCGAGTCTTGACTTGTTTTCTGATGTGTTGATGTGCTTTGTTTTGTGTCTTTTTCGGTTGGTGCGGTGTATTGTTGTTGTCGGATGGTTGGCTTTTGCGGTCGCAATTGGTTATACGTAGTCGACGGCGTCGTTACCGGTTTGTCGGTTGCGTCTTATCAGCGTGCGCTACCGAAGGAGCGGATTCAGGTGCCACCGGCCCCGTAATTGACGGGACGCATTAACGGGCGCATTACCCTGCCGGTGTGTGCCCGTTGTGATAACGAACCAGCATGAGCCGCATGCGTCGACCTCAGGCGTTTCGTTTTTTCGTGTGCGTAAATTATGCTGGCGGAAAATGAAATTTATGCATGGACGAGCACGCAAATTGAACGACAATACACGCTGTACATATTTCTATACACAATTGTGGTACGATACATTTGAGTAGCGCATGTTTTCGGTGTTGTTTGGGTTGCGGAAAAAGTTAAATTTTCAGATATTGATAGTTAATATGAAATCATTAACGATAATTAATTTTTAATTTGTTGTTAAACATAGGGTACTATTACAAATACAGAATATATTTTTGTTTAACTAAAACACGTCTTTCTTGCCGTGTACGACATGTTTTTGATAGTATAAAACTGGTTTCCACTAATTAATTTTTGGGACATTTATTTATATCAAAACAACTTCAATACTCATTAAAAAAATTATACAAAGTGTGTTATATAATATTTAATAATCAAATAATAATTAAGAAATTTTAAATCATTTTCACATTATATTTTTAGAATATATGCAACCAAATATTCAGCAAATAATTTTTTAATATTTAAGTTGCATAAATATTCATTAATTTAATAAGAAATGCGCATGACGCGCGTTTTGGTGTTGCACTCATGCACTTTATGCACGCGGTGCTTTGCGGCTTAAAGTTAAGTTGAAGATGCGCGTCGCGACCATCGCGCCGCTCGCGCGCTTGCCGTCGAACCGTCGGGACGTTGGGAGGTGGGCACAGGACGACCGACAGACGTGTCCGCGCAACTCTGGCAAGCGGTCGGCGGTCGCTGCACAAAAAAAAACCAACCACTTACCAAACTCAAAATAATATAAAACTTACTATCAGATTAAACCAGTTAAATTAAAAAATCAAAAAATAAATTTACTAAAAATGTGTTGAAAAGTTTAAATAATAATAGTGAATCAAATAACATTCAAGGAAATCTTCAGAAAGAAATAAAAGTATGTAATTTTTAAATATTTACTTATTCAAAGAAATATCAAAGTTTAAAAATTAGTTCCTAGTTTAAAATTGAGATGTCGCTAGAAAACATCCGTTAAAATCCGATAGCAACGCGGATTTCTATTGTAATCTTATTTGTTAGTCTTTGTCCGATACTGGTGTTGATAAGTTAAGATTGCAGCGTAAACTGTGTGCGCCACGTTTCTCGCGACACACGCCATCACGCGAATTCGTCGGATTTCAATTTTGATTGTGTGATAATCGGCATCAATAAATCTCCACGCAATGTATCCGAACTTGTCGAGCATGGGCATCTCGAACATGTCCAACTTTTCATTGCTTAAGGACCTCCTCACGCAAAACCAGCAGTCGGTATCCTAGTAATTAACACCAATCGCTAATTAGAAATTAATTATGCGCGTTATTGTAGTTTGTAGACAACGCAGCTAGACGCGTTAATAGTGTCGGGATTTTTTGATGATTTTTTTCGTCGTCGTTGGTTTTGTTTCTATTTGTATCGTTCGTGCGCTGTATGTGTGTGAATGTTCAAATAAGTAATACACGCTCTTCGAACAAAGACCTTGGAATCTTGCACTTGGACGTTTGATATTGTGGTTGATAAGAAAAATCGTGGATTCTATTTTTGTTCGGGTTTTCAGTTGAATTTTTTAAATTTAAATAAAATCACTACTTGAATTACATGCGCATGCGCAGTACACAATTATTCTACTGCTTAAGTAGAAATAGTGAAATTATTACTTAAAAAACTTTTTTTTAAATTTATGATGAAAATAATTAATTTTTTCTTTTTTCTTTTCAGTCCGTTGTTTAACAATTCGCGTTCGATCGCAAATTACACCACGCAGGCCAGCATGCCGTTTTATTCCACTTCCTCACCGGAGCCCACTCAAATCTGGTCTGCAACAGGTAATTATCTAAATTAATACTGAAATATTTGATGATTAGCATTGACCTAGGTCCGTCATTGTAATTCATTTGTTATTTTGTGTGCATAATCGCAAATCTGTCCGGTTGTCGTCGGCCTGATTGTCCGAATGCAGAGCGATGCACAGTCAAAATAATTGAATGTGATAGGCGATAAGAAATTCTTGACTTGACCGAGTCGCCGGTTGCAAAATCATCATCGCCATGCAACATCGGCGCGCGTTTTGCGCCGTGCAGAACACAATTCAGCGCGATAACCGCGCGAAAGATTATCGGTTTGCATTCGACCCCAAACTACCTGATAATTTTTTTACGCCAGCGGGGCTGATAAGTTTTTTCCACACATCTACATACACACGCACTGAGCGGATGCGCTTCGTCGCCGCCTGCCAATCGAGCTTTTATTTCGTTTAATTGCTTGTATGTTTATTTAAATTTTATTATGCAATAATTGCAAAAATTTTGATTTTTTTTGCCTCAAACAAAGATTTTCAAAGGTTATTTTTAATGTTTTGATTCATTTTTATACTTTGATGTTTAGATGATTTTTACAAGCATTTTTTTTAGTTTTTACTTAATTATTCAAAAAACAATTGCTGTGATATTATTATTTTCGGCAATTTGATCCCAAATTAAATTCTGCATTTAATTGTGCAAAGAACTTGTTACTAACATTTTTATTTCAAAAGTTATTAATTATTTCATTTGACTTTTCAATAAAAATATAATTGCATAAATTGAGTTTTTTGCATTTTCTAGACAAACTATCAGTTTTATCGAGAAAATATCTCAGACAAAAATTATAGATCATGAAATTATCTATAAATATTGTCTTGGCACTTTTTTTCGTAGTAGCTACCATTTTTAATTTATCGCAGTTTTAAAAGTATGTACGATTTCGCCGCCAATAAAAATTACTTGAAATATTTGCGTATTTCGGTAGCCGTTTGAGTTATTTATATACTCTTTTCATATTTAGATAGTATAAAAGTTGCATTTTCCGTTGCATATTTGCCGCCCCTCGAAATTAAGCGCAAACCACCTCAATTTTATAATTATAATAACTACGCAATCAAAACTATACTTATCTCGTGATTTATTTTGCTGTAACTCATAAAATAACCACAAAAAAATTAAAATATTAATTTATTATTTAAATCAATTGTTTTAAATTATTTTTATTTATTTATTCTTAATTTTTAGGCTTAAACAATCCGCAAATGTTAAACATGTGCTCAGATGATTTCGTAAAATCATCCAACACATCCCTGCCAGCATTCAACCGATTAGGAATGTCGCACGGTGGTTCAACCGGCGGCGGGGGCGGCGGAGGTGGCGTCGCACAAAACGCGCATCGACACAGCTCCTATCCAATCGCACCACTGGCAAATGGAAGCTACGCCAACGCCGACTGGACATTCGATGCGCACAACCCGCACAGCGCGCCGTATAATATTATGCCGTCGCCGGCATCCCGCCCCCGCCAACAGCACGCAATGAGTGCCGCCGCCTCGCTGTCAGCCAGTAAGTACCCACAACTCTATTATTAACCATTCGCTTTCTTGCATGTGATATGATTTCAATTATTTTTATAAAGAAACGCATGTGATTCAATCACAAGTGTCTTGTGGTTGCATCAACTATGATGAATGATGATTAATCAATTTCCACGCGATTGATGATTAATTAGTGTTAGTAGAGCTTCAAATTTGTACCAAATATTAAATTTCACGAAACTGATCGCCGACACACCCCTTGCCATCCATAGTCTGAAATATTGACACGTGCATTGATAAAATTAGCGCAACAGATGTGTCTGCTTCACATTTTTTTCCAAACCTGTCACATAAATTTATTTCGCCACCCTGAAAACCCTAAGTGGGTTAAGTTGAGATTTCAACATGTTAGGCGCCACTTGAAAACACTTTTCAAACTTTGAAAAACTCGTAAAATTTCGGCGTTATCAGTTACACAATTTGCAAGTTGACTTGACACATTGTGGAAACAATCAACAATTAAATTAAGTTGAATTGTTGTCATTTAATTACGCCATGGGCGAAAATTTCAGAAAACAAATAATTGTAATTGTTGAGTTTTACCGTAACGAATTTCTGGGTTACTCTGTGCTGTGTATGGCACGCAAAGTATTTTTTCGTGTCGCGTCTCGCGGCTGTTATCGAAGCGTGCTGCCATTGATAACAATTAGAAATTTCCGCGGGGAAGGAAGGAAGTAAACAATGCGTGACGGCGTGACGCTGGAAAGCAACTGTATTCCGCGATAATCACTAATATGCACGTCTACAGCTCGCACAGAGTGTTTAAAATATAAAATAAATCAACATAATTAAAGTAGGTCGAAATAAACGTGTATACTTGGTTGCCTATAACACAAAATTCAGTTAGATGAAAATAAATATTTTCAAGATTAGTTTTTGATATTTGCGGTTATAATAGTTAATAAATTGAGTTGGATGTGGATGTAACTTGTGAATGAATTCGTTCAACTTTCCTGCGTGTTGATAACTGTTGATGTTTGGATTTCGTGCGATATATGAATGCGATTCAAACACGTTTTCACACATACCGTGTTGAAGGTATGCGATGGTATCGTTTATGAAGTTTAGTGTTTCTCGCTCACACAGCCAAACATCCGTTTCGGCGAAATCCCAACATCAACGCATATCGCGCACAATCAAAACAATCAAATATGTACATTCAACACCTTAGCGAATTTCTTAATAGTAATTAAGCTCATTTAACTTAAATAAACACCAAGTGGATTTGCTTGCGGTGTTCAAATCTTAGCTCACATTTTTATTTTTGGCGCGACAAGAAATTCACTCCTCCACTTGAGTCCTTTGATTTACGGCCGCATTGAAAGCATTAGTTTTGAGCGAAATGTGTGGCGTGTGGTCGGTGTCGATTGACATCGAACACACACGTGAAACACAAAACACATTTTTATATTTTATATGTGGGCGTCATATTCCCACTGGGAGAATTATTATTGTGATGTTTACAGCATTTCAAAAGAAAACCTGGCGGCCATTACAAAAACACAATGCAGGTTTGGTTGCATACATGTTCACTTTGGGTTGTCTATATTTAATCATAGGAGTGTGTTGTTTGATGACCATTCTGTTTTGATACAGTTGACCAAAGGACGGCCGAGTACTTCACCGAAGGGCGCGAGTGCGTAAATTGCGGTGCGATCGACACGCCGCTGTGGCGTCGCGACGGCACCGGCCATTACCTGTGCAATGCCTGCGGTCTCTACCACAAGATGAACGGCATGAATCGGCCACTCGTCAAGCAGCCTCGTAGATTGGTACTTAAACGCATGCCATTCGACACACGCACACTTTTCCACACGATACACTCACACACACACATTAACTCTCTTCACCTCTCTTTCTTTTCACGCTCACAATCATAACTAAAACAAATAAAATCATATGAAGTTAAATTTGCAAAAGAAACACACTTTTGTTTATTGTTCAATTCTGGGGAATTTTTGGCATGTGGTGAATGCGCTTATTGCGATCTGTTTGTTTGTGCTTCTCTTTGAAGAGTCCAAAATTGCTTGCGTTGTTGTTTTCTATGATTTTATTTGATTTTTGTTCGGTTAAACGAGTGGTTGTACTTCTTGTACTGTATTTTTTACACCCCCAATGACGAGGCTACGCTGCTGTGACGAGTTTAAGACCGCGAACGCGTTTTGTTACTGCATTTTACGCCGCGCGCCATTTTGTTTTTTCGCTTGGCGTCCATCTTGTTTTTTTGATTGTTGTTAGTTCAGTAGTAATGCGATCAAAGCTCCGTAGTGCAGTAGTGAGAGAGTGTTTAAACCCCTTTTCTGTTTGCGTTTTTCCAGTGGCGGCGGAGCCTGGGAATGGGGGTGTAGATATCTACAAGAACTACTTTCCGCCGTATAGCGGGGTTAATACTCGTCCCCTTTTACACAACACCGAAGAGAAGTCGAGCAGGCGTTTGGTAGGTTCACGCACGCATTTTACGATTCACACATTCGACCAGTGACTTTCTAAATGAACGTTAACATTTTGACAATTGACACACGATGCATGCGAAATCAAATCATTTGTTTTTTTTTGTTACTTGGGGCGATGTATTGAGGTTATGTGTGATTTTAGAGCGCTACCAGACGTGTGGGGTTGACATGCTCCAACTGTCACACGAGTACTACGTCTCTCTGGAGGAGGAATGCCGTAGGTGAGCCGGTGTGCAACGCATGCGGGTTGTACTACAAGCTGCATGGTGTCAATCGTCCTTTGGCGATGAAGAAGGATAATATACAGGTAAATAAACTCAATTATATATCATACTAGCTTTTGCCCCGACTTCGTCGATGTAGTGTTTAATGAAAATGTAATTCGTTTTTACTCCCTTGTTCTTGACATAGTATGTGTCAATTCTATCAAAAAGATTCGCAATTTTATTTTAAAGAAATTAATTATATTAAGAATTGCTAATAATGCACTTCAGCGCGCCATCTCGGATTCAACTATTTAACTATAACTATGATTGAATCTCAATGCCAACTTTTATCCTATAGAAAAGGGCTGTCTTTAGGGATTTCCCGGCAATTATTCGAATTTTTCTCGCCGTTAAAACCATCCTTGGATTTTAACAAACATTTTAAAAAAGAATTGGCCAAATTGCTTTAGGCGTTGTTGAGTTACGCGCTTACCAACAGATTTTACTATTCATTTCTATATTATACATAATGAATACAGGTTAATTTTTGTTTTGTGATATTTTAGACAAGAAAACGCAAACCCAAGGGAACAAAAGAAGCTTCTAACAGTAATGGAAACTCGTCTTCTTCTGTGAAGATGGCCTGTTCATATTATCCAACGATGTCGGGCGGAAAAAATGATTCTGCCCATGGTTCTATTAAATTAGAACAAGAAAATGGCCTGTCCCAATCGGGGGCTTTGAATATGAGTCATTTAACGTCTCTTAAAGGAGAGCAAAACGATCATGTCAGTAGCATCAAGCTTGAACATATGGGTAAGTAATGCAGAATAAACTTTTAGTTAGATTAAACTTTAAATTCTAACCTAAAATATATTTTTTGTAGATTATGCAAATGACTTGAGGACAATGCACATGCAAAACATGTCCACACCACAGGCATACATGTACACCACATCTTCTCACTCAAACCGTGGGTCACCGTTCGGTGCCGCACAGTCGCCGCCGTACGCCGCCTCCCAGACATCGCCGTACAGCAACCACCAGACGCCGCCTTATTACGATATCATTGGCGGCCATCAAGCGAGCCCCAGTCCACCGGAAGCCAACGCTTCCCCTGGCTCTCAATCGCCGCATAGCAACAACAATAATAATATCTCTAAGGGTATGATGGCTGAGATGAACAACATGGATCGCCCTACGGTTGTCTCCATGTCTTCGGTGCAATAACGCGCACGCAACAGACGCTAACGAAAGCTTAGATAAAAAGAATGCAAACATGAATTTATATTGACAGGAAAATAGTTGGAATCCGAATGATAATTAATTTTCGAATATTTGTATATTATTTCAAGTCGTTTGCAATGGATGATGCTCCGAGTGCTTGACTTATCACCGTTTAATTTTGTAAATATTGCTACTCTAATTAGTTGATTAATTTGTTTGCCACTCGTCGCACGTCACAGACCGCACGCTCGCACATGAATACGTTAAGCGTAGAATAATTTCTAGTTTAAGCTCAAGCATTGATTGTTATTTTTTGTTAATTTCATGTATAAATTTTAATCGCTTTCCGCTTGTATGTTTATTGCTGACTGATTTCAAATCATTGCTAGGTTAGGTGTGCGCACAATTATTCCGATCGTAATTCGCAAGGTTATTATGTAAGTCTTTATTTTACAAATGGCGATAGGGGACAAATTGGCTCTCTTTGGTCACGCAGTCACGGACGTGTACAGAATCTATCTCTTCTTTGTTATATCATCATATACCATATTTTATGTAGAACTTTAAGTTTCTTATACGTTTCTTGGTTTCTTAATAACCTGAGAAGAGCAGGACATATATTTGTAATTTTATAAGTACATTTATTGAGATGATATTGTATGGTATAGGATATTTTGTTCTTAGAATTGATTATAAATATAATTTTGTTTCAATAAAAAAATTATTATTAAGAATACATTTTATTTGATTATAATAAGTTTATACTGCTATGTCGGAGCTGGAGAGTTCCACTACGCAATGAATACCTTTTCAACTTCCTAGCCCTTCTAGAAGTGCGCTAAAATGCTCTTTAGAAATCAGCATTTTTAATAGAATTTAAAAACATTGTGTGGAAAACACTCTGTATCTCGTAAATTAATTGATTTTATCAATGTTTATCACTGCTATGTCAGAGTTGGAGAGTTCCACTACGCGATGAATACCTTTTTAACTTCCTAGCCCTTTTGGAAGTGCGCTAAAATGTCCTTTAAAAATTAGCATTTTTCCAAAAATTTAAAAACGTAGTGTGGAAAACACCCTGTATCTCCTGAATTAATAAACTTTCCTGAAGTTTTTCAGCGTCGAATTGGAGTTTAACAGACTCCCTTCATGATACATTTTATTTCAGCAATCTAGGCTCTTTGGAAGTGTCTTGAAATGCCCTTCAAAAGTTGGCAATTTTGTGAAAATTGCATTTTTTGTGATGTGGAAATTGCCTTGTTTCTCGTGAACTAACTATTTTTTTTTAATTTCTCAACGTCGTCTTAAAGTTCGAGAGTCCCTGTACACTATGCATACCTTTTTAACTTTATTAACCCTGGGGAAGTGTCTTAAAATACCTTTGGAATATCGGCTATTTTGTTCAATAAATTTCATTTTTGGTCGAAGAACAGAGTGGAACATTTTTGTGAACATTTTTTTTTGGCCGAAGAACAGGGTCGAACTTACTGTCTTAAAATATTTTCGGTCGAACAACAGGGTCGAATTTTTTTGTTAAAATTTTTTTCGGTCGAAGAACAGGGTCGAACTTACTTTCTTAAAATATTTTCGGCCGAACAACAGGGTCGAATTTTATTGTTAAAATTTTTTTGGTTGAAGAACAGGGTCGAACATATTTTCCTAAAAAAATTTTCGGCCGATCAACAGGATCGGACTTTTTTTAAAAATTTTTCTCGTGAAAGCGGCGAGATTAAATTGCGATTATCTCGAGAACAACAAGGGCTACGGAAAAAAGGACTTCATATTCTTGATCCTTAGAATATTATCTACAAGATGGCACCCTTCTTAAAAAACGACCAAAAATGCATAAAAAAATGTAACGAAAAGATTTTGTTATAAAAAAGGCAAAAGATTTCTCTTTTTTATGTTTGAAATTAAAAGTTGGAATTTTTGAATTCTGTTTTCAGATTCGGATAAATCCTTAAATTCTATATTGATTATTTTAGTAACTTTTTTGGCTAGCATTTACCCTTTAGGCCCTATTTGCAATTTTAATAAAAAAATTTATGGAATTTGAACAGCGACAAAACCAAACTAAATTAGAGATTATTATTAAAACCTTTATTTTAGACCAAAATTTTATTAAGATAAAGTATGTAGAATTACATGTTCTTCTATATTTGATAATAAAAAGTTGTAATTTCTAATTTTTATTTTTTGCATGGGAAATGATGGACAAATCGAATAAACCAGTTTTTCGCACTTATCTTGGAAACCATTAGAGATAGAGAAAAACGGTTTTCATATTTGTATGTAGAATTACAATTTACATTATATATCATGTTAAAATTTTCAGTTATCAACACTTATGAAATAATTAAAAATGGTCAATAACTTATAAACTAATTAAGATAGCGCAACCAAACCTGGATTAATGGACTCCTGGCATTGTTTTACATCGGTTTGGAAAGTTTGGGGAAAATTGGAGAGGTAGTTTTATTTGATCAGTTTGGACTTTACCACCCATTTTCCGAAATAATGATGTTATCGGAAAACTGACTTGATATCTTTCATCCCCTTGGAAAACTTAATCGATTAGCGTTTTCCATTTTCTTCTAGCTCAAAAAAATTTTTTTGAGTCCAAAAAGAGTCAAGTGTAACCTCTTGATGTTTTTGAGAGGTCTTTCCTCAACTTTGGAAAATGGAAAAACTAAATCTGCCATTTTATAGATCCATATCACGGCATGAACAAAATGAAGAAAGTTCTTTTCTATCTTTATTATATTCCGAGAAAATCGCAGGGGAAATTTTTTTAGGCACATGTTTTTTTTCATATTTTTTAAAAGTTATCTTATCTAGAATTTGATGCTGATCATCGGGGTGTTTTTGATGTTTGTTTATCTCTATTAGTTCCTGAGATAATTGAATCTTAAGTCTCTATGGGAGTGCACATTTCACTAAATAAGATTTACTGGAAAACTCCTTTCTGCTATTAGATGAAATGTTGTTTAAATTGTATCATTAAGGGCCCCTCTGCACAATGAGGTTGTTCTCAATATTTAATTAAACAACTCTTTTAAATGTCAGGCGCCTCCGCCATTTTTTTCATAATTTATAACTTTTATTAAAGGAAAAAAAAATTACTCTTTTATTGTTCAGGAATTCAAAATTCCAACTTATTAATTTAATCTTTTGACGGAAAAATTTTAAGAAAAAAATCGACTCTGTTGTTAAGCCAAAAAAATTTAAGAAAAAAGTTCTACCCTGTTATTCGACTAAAAAAATTCGACCTTGTTCTATGACAAAAAAAAATTAAGAAAAATATTCGACCCTGTTCTTCGACCAAAAAAAATTTTAACAAAAATGTTTTATCCTGTTGTTCGACCGAAAATATTTTAAGAAAGTAAGTTCGACCCTGTCCTTCGACCGAAAAAAAATTAACAAAAAAGTTCGACCCTGTTGTTCGACCGAAAATATTTTAATAAAATAAGTTCGACCCTGTTCTTCGACGGAAAAATTTTTTAACAAAAAAGTTTGACCCTGTTATTAGACCAAAAAATTAAATTTTTGAGACAAAAATGGCTATTTTCGAAGTGCTTTTTAGGGCACTTCTGGAAGGATTAGAGGATTGAAAAAATATGGATCGCATAGAGAGACTCTCGAAATTTAAGATGGCCGTAAAAAACTCCAAAAAAATCTACTAGTTCTCGAGATACAGGGTGTTTTTCACACCGTGTTTTCAATCATTTTGAAAAATCCCAATTTTTGAAAGGCATTTTAGAGCACTTCCGAAAGGGCTAGAAAATTTAAATAGTATGCATCGTGTAGAGAAACTTTCGAATTTTAACATGGCGATAAGAAACTAGAAAAAAGTCAAATAGTTCGCGAGATACAAGGTGTTTTCCAAACTATGTTTTCAATTCTTTTGAATAATGTCAATTTTTAAGGGCATTTTAGAGCACTTCTAGGGGTGCTAGAAGATAAAAAAGGTATGCTGCGTGTAGAGAAACTCTTGAACTTTAATATGGCGGTGACAAATTTTAAAAACGTCCATTAGTTCACATTAGATACAGATTGTTTTGCACACCATGTTTTCAATCTTTTTGAAAAATGCCAATTTTTGAACGGTATTTTAGGGCATTTCCGGAAGGTCTTGCAGATCGAAAGAGTAGGCATCGTGTAGGGAAACTTTCGAACTTTAAAATAGCGGTGACAAACTTTAAAAAAGTCATTTAGTTGGCGAGATACAAGGTGTTTTCCACACCATGTTTTCTATTTAATTGACAAATGCCAATATTTAAAGGACATTTTAGGGTACTTCCGCATGGGTTAGAATATTGAAAATGAATGCGTTGTGTAGGGAGACTTTCAAACTTTAGAATTGCCGTACAAACTTTAAAAAGTTCAAGTAGTTCGCGAGATACAGGGTGTTCCACCTTTTAGATTTAGCTGAAACTTTTCCATTCTTTTCTACCTTTTGAGAAACATTTATTAGATTTTTTCAAAAATTTTCCCATAACCTCAAAAATGTTACAAATTTTTCAAAAAATGATAATTTAATTTTCAAATAGCCATAACTCTTTCCAAAATTGACCTATAAATACGTTATAAATAAATACGTAAAAAAACACTTCAAATAATCGCTATTTCATAGTTCAGACCATTTAAAAAATTTATCTATTTCTTAGAAAAATTCCTTCAAAAGTAAAAATATTCAAAAAAAAAAAAACGTTTCTATAACGAATCTATATCTATGAATTTAATTTTCAATTTTTGAAAATTCTAATAAATGTTTCTCAAAGGGTAGAAAAGAATTAAGAAGTTTCAGCTAAATCTAAAATGGTCGGGTTTAAGAGTTTTCTGAAGATGCCCTCAGGGCGAAACATGTAAAACTTAAAAATAAAACTGTAAATACAAAATCACGTATAATTTTTAATAAATAAATATTTTTATACATATAAGTTACCTCATAGCTTTTAGTTACAATATGAAGTAATTTTGGGATTTTTTGTTTATATATGATATATGATTAAGAAACAAATTACAACTGAGGTATTTTTGAACGCTTAAAAGTATCCAAAATGCCAAGTTTTCACAAATTTTCAAAACTTGGGGTTTCTTAGTCACATTGAAGTTAATGAAATTGTTTTCAGTAAGTAGTATACATACTTTAAAAAGTTTATATATTAGGGAAATGCTTTAACATGTTGTCTAAAAGGATTTTTCCTTTCAAATTTTCGCCTATATTGACCAACCGGTTATTATGGCGTAATTACCTACACTACGAAATTTGCTTTTCATATAAAATTCTTTTATCTCTACTGTGGTAAATTTGTAATCTGGTATTTGTGTATCTCAATTTGTAATCTCAACATATAAAATTGTAAAATCCAATATAATCACGTAGAAATTTAATAAATAAATATTTTAAACTTTATTATAATATATTATGACTATGATTAATATGATATGAAACACATATCTGATGATTATTAATAAATATTTGTTGAAATAAAATATTTTCTGTGAAATTTTAATTTTTAAACAATTTAACTTTTGCAACTCTTATACACTTTCAATGCGTCTGGCAGGATGATAGAACCGACTAAACTGTCTGTCTACGAGAGACTAAGAGAACACAAATATACAGTGTTTCCTATTATCTTCGTCTTCTCCTTGTGCGATGCTCCGTAGTTTGCCACAAGCCACTTGATGTCGCTAGAATGTCCGTTTCAATTAAAAATATTCCCGCGGG